CTTTCTAAGCATGTTGAAAGTCAAAATTTCGAATATGAAGATGCTAAAAATAAAGAAATAAGCAAATTGATCAAGAATTCTATGTCAACGGAGGGAGTAGAGAGAGCTGAAACAGCTCGTTTGAAAAGAGTTTTTGACCTGGTAGATTATGTAAGAAAAACAATAGAAAAAGAACAGATCAATCTAGAAACTTTTCTTGAAAAAATTAGGCCTTTAAATTTTACTTTAAATTATCTGAAAGAAGTAGAATCTGAAGAATTTAGAAAACTTGTCAAGTTAGTAATAGAAAAAATAAAGAATTGAAAGATTAATTAAATTTCTTTAGTTATTAAGGTAGTAGTATATTTAGATCTTTATAAGTTCAGTTTCATTTTATTAACTTAGTTTATTATCTCAAACCTAGGAATTATGCTATTTTTTTTAATATGCTCAATACATTTTTGGATTTTCATTATCGATATACGGTTGAGAACAATATTAATTTTTATTCGGGGCAAAAAATTAAATACCAAGTTTTGAAGTGGCCTAATCATGTGGTGTTTATTATTTGGAAATGTTCGTAAATAAATGATTTACATTTATTATGCATAATATTTTTTTTTATGTTTAACAATTTTATTATTTTATTAAGGTTAATTTTATTATGCATTTTTTTTACTTTTGTTTAATGGATAAATTATGATATGAAATTAAGGAATTCTCGGTATAAATTAAGTATTTAGCCAGAGTACAATTTTTAATTAACACCGTAAAAACAAACGGGACGAATATCTAGTCTAGATATTTAATCTAATTAACCCTTTACAATTGTAAAAAAATAGAAGTTAATATTTTCAATATTCGCATCTGGGCTAATTTTTTCAGTACCCCAAAATTTAAAGGGTATTAGCCGACCAGTAGTAGTTGGATTTTTATTTGACTAATAAATCGTATATCGATATCGGTATAAATAAACATAACAGTAATCGATTTGTTGTTGGTTTGATTAGTGAAAAAAGTAATCGGTTAAAGGGTGGGGTAATCGGTTAGACGCAAATCCAAATATGTAATTTTTAAATTTGGGTACCTTTCAGTAAACGTACATGTCAATTGACTGTCTAATATCTAATAAAAAATTAATCCTTTAAGGGATCTTCGGTCAGATTTTATAAGTTTTAGTGATCAAAAAAAAGGCCCAACTGAAAAAATTAGCCCTTATGAAGTAAAGTAAATAAATAAGTTAAATTTGCGATAATAAATGATTTATGATCAATCAATAATGCTTATAAGCAAGTTCGAAATTACAGGTAACCGGTTTTTGCTAAAACTATTGACAACTCAACTCAAAACTCTGTCCGGTAATCCTAAATTAGTAAAGGTCATTATAGACTGTACCATATCCGTATTGTTCTAGTAATTTAAAAGTAATGTGCTTCATAATAGTTTCCAGAACCATATTTCAACACCCGCTAAATTTAATATGTCAAATTCGCATTTGAACCCTATATGCTGGTTATACGAAGCCGAATCCGTTGGAGTGGCTGAATTGCTTTTCTAATGTAAATTCGCAGAAATAGGTTAAATTTTATTTTTATTAAGAATTCTTTGTTAAGTTTACAAATAAAAATCAAATGGATTTCTATCCGAAAGAGTCCAATCATTCGAAAGATTTAAAGCAATTGCCCGATAAACACAATAATTAATTACATGCATGGTGATCTTATTGATCGCTGACCTCATACGTTCATTATGTTAATTAGGAATAAGCTGCCTCATATAGAGCGTTTTAAATAAAACAAACGAATAATTTGAATACGTATGAATGAAAACTATAATATTAAAAGGTTAGTTTTTTATTTTCATTAACTAGTTTAGCTTGCGTTTTTTATTTTCATCAACTATATTATGAGTTCTTTTACTATTTTTTAAGCGATAAACTTCTTCATAATTTTTTAATGCTTCGGCATTATTTGGTTCAATTTCTAATGATTTCTTTAAATCTGCGAGTGATTCATCGTATTTATTCATCATGCGATAAGTTATTCCACGATATCTTAATGCCTCGACATTATTTGGTTCAATTTCTAATGATTTATTCAAATCTGCAAGTGATTCTTCACATTTGATCATCCTGCGAAAAATATCTCCACGATATGCTAATATTCCTGCATGATTTGGTTCAAATTCTAATGATTTAGTTAAATCTGGAAGTGATTTTTCATATCTACCTATGTCGTAATAGGCAAATCCACGAATTTTTAATGCAAATGTATTATTTGGTTCAATTTCTAATGACTTGTTTAAATCTTCAAGTGATTTATCATTTATATCCATCATGTAATAATAAGCACCACGATTTCTTAGTGCAAAGGCATTATTTGGTTCAATCTCTAATGATTTATTTAAATCTGCAAACGATTCTTCATATCTGTTCAACATACGATAAGTATCTCCGCGACTTCTTAATGCATATGCATTATTTGATTCGTTTTCCAAAGATTTATTTAAATCTGCAAGAGATTCTTCATATCTTCTCATTAAGCGATAAGTATCTCCACGATAACTTAATGCTTTTGCGTTATTTGGTACAATTTTTAATGATTCATTTAGATCCGCAAGTGACTCATCATATCTGCCCATTAAGCGATAAGTATTACCACGACATCTTAATGCAGATGCATTATTTGGTCTAATTTCTAAAGATTTATTTATATCCGTAAGTGATTCTTCATATTTACTCATTAAGTGATAAATTTCTCCGCGAATTTTTAATGCTTTTGCATTATTTGGTACAATTTTTAATGATTCATTTAGATCCGCAAGTGACTCATCATATCTGCCCATTAAACGATAAGTATCACCACGACATCTTATTGTATATGCATTATTTGGATCAATTTCTAATGACTTATTTAGGTCTTCAAGTGATTTTTCGCACATGCTCATCATGCGATAAGTTTCTCCACGGCAATTTAATGCAAATGTATTATTTGGTTTAATTTCCAACGATTTATTTAAATCTGCCAGTGATTTTTTATATTTACGTATCAGGCGATAAGTTACACCACGGCAACTTAATGCAAATGCATTATTTGGTTTAAATTTTAATGATTTAGTTAGATCTGCAAGTGATTCTTTATATTTACCCATTAAACGATAAGTAACTCCACGAGTTCTTAATGCTTCAATATTATCTGGCACAATTATTAATGATTTAGTTAGATCTGCAAGTGATTCTTTGTACCTGCTAATCATGTAATTGGTATTTCCACGAATTCTTAATGCTTCAGCATTATCTGGCTCAATTTCTAAAGATCTATTTAAATCTGCGAGCGACTCATCATATTTATCTAATTGATAATATACACCTCCACGAACTCTTAATGCTTCTGCATTATTTGAATCAATTTTTATTGATTCAGTTAAATCTGCAAGTGATTCTTCAAACCTGCTCATCATGTGATAAGTATCTCCACGAATTCTTAATGCTTCTGCATTATTTGGTTCAATTTTTAATAATTTATTTAAATCTTCAAGTGATACTTCATACCTCATCATTATGCGATGTATTCTTCCGCGACTTCTTAATGCTTCAGCATTATTTTGCTCAATTTCTAAGGATCTATTTAAATCTGCGAGCGACTCATCATATTTATCTAATTGATAATATACTCCTCCACGAACTCTTAATGCTTCTGCATTGTTTGAATCAATTTTTATTGATTCAGTTAAATCTGCAAGTGATTCTTCAAACCTGTTCATCATGTGATAAGTATCTCCACGAATTCTTAATGCCTCTGCATTATTTGGTTCAATTTCTAATGATAAATTTAAATCTGCAATTGATTCTTCGTATCTCATCATCATGCGATGAGTTCTTCCACGATTTCTTAACGCTTCTGCAAGACTCGCTAATGCTTCTGCATTATTTGGTTCAATTTCTAATGATTTATTCAGATCTGCAATTGATTCATCATATCTGGTCATCATGCGATAAGTATCTCCACGACTTCTTAATACAAACGCATTATTTGGATCAATTTTTAAAGATTTGTTTAAATCTACAAGTGATTCTTTATTCTTTCACTAAAATTCCTTTCTTGGGTCTGTATTACCGGCACAAGGCCAACATCTGGTTCAGGGTTTAAGGGCATATAATCTTGGAAAAGATCTACAAAAAATGAGTATAAGCTTATATAATGCTCGTAAGAAGTACTTACGTACATACGTACGTACATCTATCACTTTAATTAATCCAGAAATATGGATTGGCTTAAAATTGCTATTCAACAAAAATATATTAAATTATTTAAATATGATTCTTTTCGAAATTTGAAAGAAATTGGTAAAGGAGGATTTGGAACTGTATATAGTGCTTATTCAGAAAATATTGACAACCTTGTAGCTTTAAAAGCCTTACACTATAGTCCCACTAAAGATAATAAGATTTCATTGGATGGATTTATTAAAGAAGTATAATTATTATATAATACTGTATATCAATAATATTTACGCTTTATTTACGTTTTTATTGATTTATTTATTCTATAATAAAATTATAAGGTTAAAAATATGAATAGTGTTAATCATCATGTTAATGTAATAAGATTTTTTGGCATCACTCAAGGTATGTTAATTTTTATATATCATCGCTTAACCGATCGTTATTAATAATTTTGTACAAATTAGATCCAAAAAAGGTTGAAAAATATTTTATGGTTCTTGATTATGCTAACAACGGTGACCTTCATGACTATTTAAGTAAGAATTTTTTGAAATTAGATTGGGCTACTAAAATTAGAATGGCAAAAGAAATTTCTAGCGGAATTAATTGCCTACATAGTGCAAATATTGTTCATTGTGATCTTGTAAGCTACTTTTTTTCATTTAATTTTATTTTTCACATATTTTATATCATATTAATATTAGAATCAATGTTATAGCATGATAAAAATATATTGGTGCATAATGATAGGTTAAGGATTACGGATTTGGGTATATCCAAATCATTGGATAATATCTCAAAATCTGTTCAGGGTGGAAGACATGCTTTTACAGATCCACAATATCTTGTAAGCCAATATTTATATAAACGGGATAAATCCTCCGATATCTATAGTCTTGGTGTACTTTTTTGGGAACTATCAAGTGGTGCACCCCCCTTTAAAAACACACCTGAAGATGAAATTGCGTTATCTGTTATTTTTGGTACAAGAGAAACACCTATTAATGGAACTCCTGTTGATTTTATGAATATTTATTGCGGCGCTTGGAATGATAATCCAGAATTACGTCCTACCATAGCCGAAATTCGTAATAAATTAGATTGTATAAATATAAATTTAGCTTATTGTAATGAACAAGATATTAATACTGCAAGAAATAATGATTATGACAATAACTCGCTTGAATTATTTAATCAATCGCAAGTAGTCAGCCAAGACTGTTTAACTCAAGATTCTATAAATTGTCTTGATTTAATAAGATCGAATCAATCGTCAGAAAATAGTAGAATAACCGATCTGAAATTAGATAAAAATCTTGCAAATTTAACTAGATCATTAGAAATTGAACCGAATAATGCATTTGCACTGAGAAATCGTGGTGCTAATTATTACATGATGAACAGATATGATGAATCACTTGCAGATTTAAATAAATCCTTAGAAATTGAACCAGATAATGCATTTGCATTAAGAATTCGTGGAGATACATATCATATGATGAGCAGATATGAAGAATCACTCGCAGATTTAAATAAATCATTAAAGTTTGAACAAAATAATGCAGAAGCATTAAGAAGTCGTGGTTATACTTATCGCATGATGAGTAATTATAAAAAATCACTTGCAGATTTAAATAAATCATTAGAAATTGAACCAAGACATGCAAAAGCATTAAGAATTCGTGGTGATACTTATTACACGATGGGCGAATATGAAAAATCGCTTGCAGATTTAAATAAGTCATTAGAAATCGAACCAAATAAAGCAAAAACATTAAGAATTCGTGGTGATACTTATTACACGATGGGCGAATATGAAAAATCGCTTGAAGATTTAAATAAATCATTGAAAATCGAACCAAGCAATCCAGAAACATTAAGAGTTCGTGGAGGTGTATATTATCAATTAGATAAATTTGATGAATCACTCGTAGATTTAAACAAATCAT